GAGGAATTCAACGGCTCATGCGGATACTACTGTCTTAGCTACGAACAGACCGTTGCTGATCTGAGGACTTGCTTCATGGATAACGGTGTCAATCCGAGGGATATCCTTTGCTCGGGGAATAATACTGCGAGTGCGACGGGCACGCCTAGTGGTGGTGCGAGTCGCACGGGTAGTAGTGGTCCGGATGCTACGGGTGAGGATGGGAAGCCGGATACGGGGGCTGCGGTGCATGTGGGTGTGTCGAAGACTGCGGTGGGTATGCTGGGCATGCTTGTCATGTCGGCGTTTGCTGGTGCGCTGTTGTAGGTGCTATCGCGGTGATGATGGATGTCAACGATGTCATTGCTGCTTTACCTTTCTTGTTCAAGCATAATACCAGATACTTTCTCACTTTCCACATCTCAGATCTCCTGATTACATTTTCTCGAAAGTTGTTGCAGAAGCGTGGCTTACTCACCACTACAGGCTGTTTTCGCTATGCTTCCTGCTTACACCAACCACCGCCAATCACCGCTTCGGAGAGACGAGTTTTGCATACAATGGTTGGCATACACATACCTTGGCGGTTATGCATTATTTATCGATCGATGTCTCCGTATACGGTCTCATCATGCGATTGGACTTCACACAACAGGTCATGGGTATCTATTGCCTACCGACACAGTGGTACCGCAACTTACCCCGCCAGAGGTGTAACCAAAGCCTGCATGTAGAGGAGAGCGATCATACGTCTAGTGGAGAAACAAAGTGTATATATGGCGAGGTTCGATGCCCTTCCAGTCTGACTTATTGGTGGGACAACAACGTGTTTAACCCACATCTGAACCATGGGTACTTTAGCTGCAATAAGCATCGCCATCTCAGTCATAGGACTCTACTACATCCTCATAATAGGACGTCGAGAAGCCCATCTACCACCCGGTACCTCCCTCCTCATCCCCGATCCCATCCTATCCCCATCCTATCCCAAAGCTAACCCACCCATCCAGGCCCACGTCCCCTCCCCCTCCTCGGCAACGTCCTCTCCATACCCACCAAAAACGCCCAATTCCAATTCACGCAATGGGCCTCCCAATACGGCGACATCTACAGCCTCAAGCTCTTCCACACCACCACCATCATCCTCAGCTCCCGGCGCCTCGTCCGCGAACTCATCGACAAACGGGGAACCACATACAGCAGCCGCCCACCCTTCGTCTTTGCAACAAGGTACATCGCGCGAGATCCAGCAAACATGCCTCTAGTCGTCTTCATGCCGTCGGGCGAGAAACTGAGGTTATGCCGCAAGTTACTGGCGCACTGTTTCAACGAGGCCAAAGTAGATAAAGAGTATATTGGGCTTGTGGAGGCGGAGGCTAGTCAGATGCTGTGTGATTTTGTGAAAGAGCCGAACGAGTTTATGGGGCATGCACTGAGGTTCGCAAATAGCACTATTAAGAGTCTAGTTTACGGAACAAGAACGAGACATGCGGAGCAGCTGGAGGAGTACAAGGTTTGGTTTGACAAGTACGTTGCGTTGCTTGAGGTTGGTGCAACACCGCCAGTCGATTTGCTACCGTGGCTGCTGCATGTACCGCAGGGGCTGTGGACAGGACGCTGGAAGAATTGGAAGGATAAGAGCGAGGAGACTTCGAGGGCGGTTAATGCTGCGTTTACGCAGATGGCGGAGCCCGTGTTGGAGAGGAGGAAACGGGGTGTGCGTGCGGCGACTGTATATGACTATGTGCTGGACGAGGGCGAGAAGGGGATTGATCTTACGAGAAGAGATCTAGATGTTTTTGCTGGGTCGCTGATTGATGCTGGGAGTGATACAACGGCGTCTGCTATACGAGTTTTCATTCAGGCGATGGCTAGGTATCCGGATGTTCAGGAACGAGCACACAGACATGTTGGTGAGGTGGTGGGAAGCATGCGGTCGCCCGGGTGGAGCGATGTCGCGAGCTTACCGTATGTCGTGCAGGTTGTCAAGGAGGTCATGCGATGGAGACCTCTTGCGGCCTTGATCATGCGCTCCACTACTGCTGGTATCCTTCACTCCGCTCGGATTGTGGATGAGCCGTGGCTAATGTGAAGCAGATGACACGATTGACGGCTATTTCATCCCGAAGGGCACGACTGTTCTCATGAACGTATGGGCTTTGAACCATGGCCCATGCGATGTCGACACTTGTGAATCCCCAATGTCGGTTTTCAATCCCGATCGCTACGAAACACGTACGCACACTTCAGCTCAGTACGCAGCGTCTCCTGATGTGGGTTCGCGGGATCACTTCACGTTCGGTGCTGGTCGTCGTATTTGTCCTGGTATACATCTTGCTGAGCGCAGTCTTTTCATTGCGATTGTGAAGTTGCTTTGGGCATTCGAGTTCAAAGAGAAACCTGGGAAGCCGATTGATATCGATCCTGACACTGGGTTTATGGATGGCATTGTGAGAACGCCGAAAGATTTCGAGTGTGAGATACGGGTGAGGGAAGGAAGAGAGGGGGTGCTTGAAAGGGAATTTGCCCAGGCGAGGGATGTGTTGGCGAAGTATGAGATTTGAAGGAGTTGTGATGTGATCATCAATAGGGTTCGTATCGATGCCATACTTAAGGATATGTCGAGTGTAGTTCTATACAGTATTCATTTAGTTGCGAAGTACATGAAAAGCTTGTTTTAATGCCTGCCAACTCAGGAGAGTAGTTGGTGACCAGTTCTGCCCAGGATGGGGAGTTGCGACGAGGGCATAGAGCTCAGTTGACTGAATCGGAAAATGGTACTCGCAATGTTTTTCTTCATATAGCAAGAGGTACAATGAGGCCAACGGGTGCAGTAGAGATACCAGATGTTGGTAGCGCCGCAACAGCAGAGATCCCGCAGAAAGAGTGTAGAACCGCATACTATGACGTACATGACAGATCCCGTTTGACTTGCCTTATCCAGAACATTTCGAAAATATACATTCCCGAGATCCCATTTCTGACCATACTTAGGTATGCACCCTCGGTAATAGTCGCGTTGGCGTTCCAGCTCTCCACACCCGCGAGCGTAGATCATCAAGACAACTACTCCACAACTAATTTCCCGTTCCTGAACCTGGCTTCCTTCGCTCCGAAATAGCGTACCAGAGTACACTTACATGCAGCTCGGCTACGACTGCCCATCGTAATTTCAACGTATGTGACTTCTTGGGACCGAAGAACGTCACAAACCACGGTACGGAAGTGCAAACTTATGTCCGATCGCGGGTAAGTTCCTGGCTAGAGTTCTCGGGCTATAGTCTCGCCGGCGGTTTCCTGCCTTCTAAGCAACGTCATGGTCGCGAACATTACGGAGATTTTAGTTGGGGGTTGGTGTTTCAACTGTCTTGTACGCCACGCTGAGGACATGACGATAGCGATTCAGGTACCACGTAGATGCATCTAAACGGCTAACGGCACAACGTGTCCTCACCCGTTTTTTTTTAGATGATTTACAGCAATGAGCAAGAATGTGCACGATTCACTCGGTCAATCTCCGCGGTACCGTGCCACTTCCCTCAATGCCACTATCACAATCACAACCTTGGAACGCATGAAGGAGCAAGAAGCGGAGAAATTGCACCGAAGCAAAACAAACATAGTCCATCCTACTTGCATGGAGGCTTCGATGCGAAAGAAAAGCAAGCGGATGTGGTTGCGGAGCTGGAAGAAGCAGTGTTAAGTACCTAGCACAAGTGTCTGCAGCCGACCATATGCGGGTAGCGGGTACCTCATCCTCCCTCTATGCTTCATCTACATTCCTTTTGCTTGCAACAACTGCTTTTCTCCTCCCGCGGCTGCAGTGTTATGCAATGCACAAAGAATTCTCCATCACTCACTAACGCATGCAGCGACTGCACGGAATGATCACTCCTGCATTCCAACGTTTTCCCCACTATCTCACACAGCATCCACCGTCCTCTTACTCCATCGCTTCGGCGCATATCCCTACCGTATCGATACGGTCGGCCCGTCCGTCACGATGTAACGGCATCCACCCTCCAAAAGTTTGGTCCGTTGAGTAATGCCTCTCAAAACCACACCCAACGTCCGCGGGTAAGGAAAATTAGCCCACATCGCTCGCGCCATGCAGGGGCTCAGGGGCTGGCTGGTGCGGCGCAGCTCGGAAGAAGGCGCCAAAAGGAACGACGGGAAAAAGGAAAATAGGGAAGTAGAAAAAGGGAAACGACATAACGATAACGTCACGGGTTTATGCGAACGGTTAGTAGCGAGGTAGAGGGGGTGTGGGTTGCTGCTAGGGACGTTTCCGCGGGGGGGGGGAGGAAGGTCGCGCGAAGGGGATTGCCGCGTCTTTGGATCGTGGGTTGGAATGTGGCTGGGTGCGTGGGAACGTGATGAGCATGACGAATGCGGATGTTGATGTAGAAAATGTAATCGTTTGGTTAATTATCAGAATTGTACTGCACGGAAATGAACGAAGCCAAAGAGGGGTGAACTCATGCCGAAGCATATTGATTCCATTTGCAAGTCTGCATAGCTGCATTCTTCTAGACTTAAAGGGGTGTTAATACACCCAGTCCCTATGATTCATTATTCCATTACTCCAGCTGACTCCCGTCAGACAAGACATATCCAAAGATACAGAAACCACCATGCCCTCCCAGCCTTCGAACAAATGAGAAAAACATAGAGTAGTAAAGGAAAAACAATGTACTACGCTGAGCAAAACGACGTTTCGTGATATCCAGTCCTCCGTAAATACAAAAGAATCCGGGGTGTGAGATCAAGTAAACGCTTTTAACTCCTTTGGTGGCAACGCCCTGCGCCAATTCGTGATAGTATCCAAGATTGTGTGCCGTATTAAGATTATGCCTCCATGTGTGCCCATGAATGAGAGAGTGAAAGAAATAAAGAGGAAAAGGTATGCCGTATCGCCATAACAGACTGGCAAAGAATAAAAACGCATCGACGAAAAGTCCGGGTATAGTCAAGAAGCGAAGGTCAACGTTGCGATAAGCATGCTATCAGGATTGAAGCTACTACCCTCTAAAGTCCCCTGGTCCTTGGTTGGCGAAGATGTAGCTCTTGGGCTGGGGTTCGGTCGTTCGCCGTATGAGGTTTCCATGCGGATCCGTGCCTTGAGGTGGTGTGTACTGGTGTACGAGGAAGTCGGGCATGGCGGAGACTTGGGGCGCGAAGGGAACGTTGTGATGGATGCCACTCAATGACATGTCCTTGTAGTCATCATACATGTTTCCGCCCTGCATGTACTGGACATTGCTGTCATCGCCTTGCGTCTGAGCTGTGTCAGGTAGCGATGGTCGCCTGAAGTGCGAGGGCTTCGGTTGTTGGATCGTAAGATCGGTTGTGGAATGGAAAGCTGCACGCATCTGGGGTTGCTGCATGTATGATGTTCGAGGGAAGTGCTGCTGTGTCGCTGGTGCTGACTGCGGAGGTGTGTCGCGGTACAAAGCGTCGTTTACAAAGCGCGATTGCAAATCCATGGACGAAGATGGCGGTGAAGTGCTCTTCGCAATCACATTTCCAGATTGGTCGTTGGACCAGTTCGCGTGCATGCTCTCTGGGCTGTTGTGATCCGGCATCGCAGAATGCGGTCTTATCACGGCAGCACCACCCCAATAGTTGCCAAAATCTTGTGGTGTCAGTGGAGTTGGTGGTGCTAGACTACCGCCTTGTCCAATTGTGGTAGTGCTCGAAGTTGAGAACGTTCGTGCGAACTTGGGCGACGCAGCAGCATCGGAGAAGCTCATAGCCATAGGTGAGCGTTGTGCTGAACCTGGCTGCGACTTCTGAACACGACCTCCAGCATTCGCAATTCCAGTTGATCGGATCCGGCGGATGACTTTGTCGTTGTTGCCTCCTGGTGATGGCATGGGGGCAGAATACGAGGCGCTCCTCATCGCGCTGGAGTTCAGATTGACTGGACGTTTCTGTCTTCTTGCAGCGATGCTCGAATGCTGATCTGATTGTTGGAAGCCCTCCGGAGTACCGTTTCGGATGTGGATCGCGTCCATGTTGTTGGCTAGGTTGCTGCTTGAAGAGTTTCTTCGGGCAAACGCGTCCTCGCGGAAGTGCAGTGGAATGTCGAGATCGGAGGGCGCAGCACTGAGCTTCCGTGCTTGTTCCGGTGAAGTGAGGATGGCGTGTGCAGACGAGTTTGGCTGTTGGTAGAAGTTCGACTGGGGGTACATTTGGTTTGAGCCATCTTGCGGCCAGAATGGAAGCGTCTGTTCGGAGGCTGAAGCCTGAGCAAGACTGTATGGTGCGAATTGATCCTCTGGTTCCTCGACCTGCTTGGGCTGTGCCATTTGCGAGGGATCCTCTGTCCAGCCGGTGTAGACCGAATTCAAAGAGGCGATTGAGGGAGGTGTAGGTCCATTTGGCGATTGCGTGGTGCCAGATGACTGGGTGCCATTGTATGGAGACGCGTCCGACGAGATGGATCCTGTACTTTGCTGAGCTTCTGCAGATGTAGAGTTGGTGGTGTTGGTCGCAGCAAGTGCCGAGTAGTCTATCTGGAAGTCGGCGAAGTTGTCGAATTCCGGGTGTGAAGGTGCGATGTCGCTGGGCATGGACGCGGGAACCGAAAAGGCACCTAGGTCGCTGGAGTACGCATTGGGCAGCCCGTTGACACCGTTGTTGTCGTAAGAGAAGTCTTGCTCTTGCGCATTAAGACCCATGCCACTGTTGTGCATGTAGGCACCGTTGGTCGCAGCCATGATCGAGTGCATGAGGTCGTTGGAGCGGTACGATGCGGAACGGTCGGGCTCCGGGACTGCGTGGAGGGCGTTTTGCATGTCGTATTGTTGTTGCTGCTGCTGTTGATGCTGTTGGTGTTGGTGTTGGTGCTGGTGCGGATGCTGCAGTATGAGCTGAGGGCCCAGGTCGAGGGCTGATGGTCCCTCGCCCGTTTGTACAGGAAGCGTTGCAGGGCTGATGTCAGCGTTCGGATAGTAGTCCGGCTGCATGAGCATATGCGGATGTTGCTGCTCTTGCGGGTGCGCGTAGTGGTTAGACATGACGGGCACGTGCTGGTGTCCAAACGGAAGGCTCATGGTCATGTTGTACTGGTTCATTAGCTTCTTGCGGTCCTGCTTGACTTTGGCTCTGCGGTTCTGGAACCAGTTCTGCAGTCGTGTTAGCGACGCACAGCATACATCATGACAGGACACTTGCGTTGATCTTGTCCAGTGGCACGCCGAGGCGCGTCGCGAACTCCTTCTTTACATTGGTACTGGGCTTGTGCTGCGCCAGGAAGTGCTGCTCGAGGATGTCGTGCTGGTCCTTGGTGAGGCGGGGTTTGACATCGCTGCCAGGCTGCTTGGGGGCAGAGGGTGCCGTCGTCGAGGCCCCGCTAGAATCCATGGCGGCGCGCACAGCGGCAATAGAGGCAGAGAGGCGCGGAGTCAAGGGCGGCGAGTGCTGCAATAAAGTCGTGGGCGTGGGCGCGTTCGGGTAGTGACAGGTGGGTGCAGCTGTGGACGGCGGAATCTGGGGCGCTGGTGATGGGCGATAATGCGTAGAGCACGGATGCACGGGATGCACCGAGACGGGTCGGCGCTGGGATAGATATGTGTCGAGGGAAGATGCCAGTAATGGTAGCGAGCGACGATTACGAAGGGGAGCGAAAACAACAGCAGTAGACTCTATATCTACAATAGAAAAACGAGGGTATTCAGCGCGACGGCGCGGTAGGGAAAGGCACGAAGCGAACGACGACGGAGAAGAAGAGCAGGAGGAGCGATCAGGTTGTTGGCTGCCCAGGTGCCGCTTGGTTGGTCGGAGGTGCTAACTTGCTAAGCCACTGAACCCCCCAGCATGCATTATGCTGCTCCGGCACAAAAATAGTTTCGTGACACTCGTCGTCTCCGCTCAGCACACCTGAATCCTGGAGAAGACGCACCGGATGATTCGATCTTCTGTTTCTTGCACCTGCTCGCCCTCGTGCTCCGTGGAGGGCGGCCACACGCTCGCATGCACATAGACTCATAGCACTGGCCGGCACGCCCAACCCCGGCGCGCAATCGTGAAGCGCGCCCAGGGGCACTCTCCTGCCTCACGCCAATTGGTCCGGCCGTGGAGCGAGCTGCGGCGGCGGCTGTGATCCGCCCTCGGGCGGGAGACATGTCCCACTGATTTGAAGGCGATGGATGGTGCTGCAGCTTGGGCCTTCCCCCGTTCGGAGAATATACATGAGCGTGTGAGAGTGCATGTTAATGCCAACGCAGCCTGCCTGCTCAACCACGTTCCACGTCAAATGTCTAGTCACCGTCGGCGCCGGCATGGCTTCAACGTGGGCAACGGGCTCGAGCGCTGCTTTGAGCTGATGGCGTCAACATTGCGCTCGCCGTCGTGCCGACATCCTGTGCCTCTCACGACTCGCCGAGTAGCTCTTTGTCAGTAACCGCTTCCGGTCCGAGTCGACCATCTGTGTGACGAGATGCCCCCCGGGCGCATGGCCAAGGGGCATATCGCGCCGCTGATCTGCTGGCTCGGAAGTCGGCGCACATGTTTTGGCAACATATCGACGGTTCCTGAGCGTACCTTGCAGCAAAGGGGCTTCCGTACCACCTGCGAAACTCAAATTGGCCCCAGCTTGTCCTACAAACTTCGTGTGTTGACTGACTTGGGCGACGGATAATCCCAGCCTAGCTCGGAAGACTCAGTGCGCCCCCAGCTGGGGGACCCGCTGGCCCAAACCAAAAAACCTCGTGCTGCAAGGGCGTCCCTATCATGCGCTGCACCCTGCCGACTATCAGACGTCCTCGCCAACCCGTCTGAACTTAGTCTTCTTTGCGAGTCTGCTACGCCAGCTTTCGTGTCGCACCACAGAGACGGCACGCCCAGCTGACGTCTTCGACTGCAGTAGCTTGTGGTGCCGTCGTCTTTCCAGAAAACAGTTCGATGGGGCGCAGACTGCTCGAAATGGAGTATTTCATGCGATGCGCTGCATTCCGTGATTCCCGTACAGGGAGTATGATACGGCGAGTCGAACAAGGCTAGCACTCCAAGCGACACTCCTGCATGCTGTTTAAGGGTTGCGAGGCTGTGCACGCATGAAGTAGATTTCAACCTCCAAACATTGTTGCTTCGCCGCACAATCGGTCTCCGACCTCATCTTCCATCCAATCTACGGCTTATCGTGAGCTTCAACCGTCTGACTGCAGCTCAGTCACCGATGTAAACTGAGCTTGCAGCAAACCTGAAAACGTCGAGTAAGCAGGCTCACGATCCTGGCAAAATACTGAATCGCCCACACAAAGACGAGTAAGGTAACAGTCGGTGTTGATTCTCTTCGCTTAGACTAAGGCATCTGCGATCTGTATGTCTCCTTGCCCTGTTGCTTTGTCCCATGATGTCAGCGTGACACTGCACATGTCCTTGACAATGTAATCTGCGCCAGCTTCTATCAGCTGTTCTAGCGTATGTGTGGTGTAAAGTCCCACCACGACGAACCCTGCTGCCTTTCCAGACTTGACGCCTGCAGGCGCATCTTCGAAGACAATGATGGAAGATCTGTTTTCTGGGAGCCCCAGCTTCTTTGCACCCATCTGGTAGGGCGCCGGGTCTGGCTTGCCGTTAGGCACATCTTCTGCCGTTACGAGATTCTTGGGGTGCGCCAGCTTCATGACATCGAGCCAGCCTTGCACAAGAGGTCGCGTGCCTGAGGTAACAATGGACCATGGAACAAGGTGCTCTTCGAGCTTGTCCAACAGAGCTCGTGAACCGGGAATCTCAATGGCGTCTTGTCCGAATTCCTTCGGGATCAAACCCTCTGCTTGGGAGATGTCTAATCTGTCAGATGAGTGCTTTTGTCAAAATGAAGACATGGCGCTTACACTCCTCATTTGCGAGCTTTGGCTCATAGATCCGAAGGACGTCGATCGACCTTCGACCATGTGATGAAGCGAGGATGACATTAGGATCGACACCTATCTCTTTCCCAATCCTGATGCAGACATGTAAGCTTGGAGACGTGAACATGCTCGGCTGTTACTTACTTGTGCCAATGTTTTACAATGGCCTCTGTGGAATCGATGATAGTCCCACTACCTATATTAGCTGACTGATAAGATGCTTTCAATGAGTATAACGCACTCCATATCAAAGAGCTGCAGGTGATGAGATGTTAGTATCAGCTTGCCATGCAAGTAAGCGTGCTTCTTACCAAGCCATGGAAGGGAATCGTTTTGGCAGGTGCCGAGAAGGAGGGTTCTGATACAGTCATAATGTGAAGTTAGAAGTGAGATAAATTGATTCTCAGTCAACAAGGTCAAGATATCGCAATGATATAGTGAAGTACCCGAGCGGACTGTTGTAGATGTACACCTGGTGGGAAAGAGAATACATTATCGCGCTAACTCGTTCCGGTATCGGATCCGCCAACTGCCGATGATGCAGCCAATCATGGTGACGGCAACTAAAAGATTCTAGTCGCGACGTTGGAGACACAGCCGCGAAGCCTGGCCTGCATTTGACGTTCTAGAAGATAGATAGAATACATATGAATCTATTCCCATATGTGCTGCTGGAGAGCGTGAGAGTTGGGTATGGCCAGGGCCGCGGGGGTGGGGCTAAAGCTAGCTAGGCGGACACAAGCGGCAGAACTTTTCACGTGCCGAACTTTTTCTGGATCGGCTAGAACTTTTCTGTAGACGATTGCGATAACATACACCACGCCAACAAGTCAATATGAAGGTCGGAAGTAAGGCTTCTCACGAATTTCAGCCCCGACAAAGTACTAACGATCATTCTAGAGCCAAAGTCGAAGCGCGTACCCGTGCGATTAAGGCACAAGATCGAGAAGGCTTCAGCGGCGAAGCAGAAGAAGGCGAAGAAGCTCGCCAAGAAGGTACTGCCACCATGCGCGACTACAGCGCTCCCATTCTGACACACATAGGACCCAACATGGCGCTCCAAGACCAAGAAGGAACCCGGCATTCCCAACCTCTTCCCCTACAAAGACAAGATTCTCGCAGAAGTGGAGGAGCAGCGCAGGAGGAAGGAAGAAGACAATGCGCGCCGACGCCAGCTAGCGAAGGAGCAACAACAGAAGGGCGCAACCGCCGAGGATGTCATGGAGGATGACGAAGAGTTTGAGCAATTCGATGCTGAAGGCGACGAACTACTTGCCGACGATAGCGAAGACGAGGACTCGATGCAGGTGGTAAGTCGAAGTGGTTAGTATACGATGCGCGGCTGTACTAACTGGATGCAGGACAACAAGTTCAACCCTATGGCAGCTCTCTTAGCTTCCGCCAAAGCGCGCGCCGCAGAATTCGAGAAGAACGACGACCCAGACGCCATGGAAGACAGCGATGACGACGAGTCGGATGACGATGATACAGTCAAGGTCCGCAAAGATGCGTCAAGAAAACAGTTCGACAAGATATACAAGCAGGTTGTCGACGCCGCGGATGTTGTTCTGTACGTGCTCGATGCTCGCGACCCAATGGGAACACGATCGAAAGAGGTGGAGCAGGCAGTTATGGCAGCCGACCGTTCAAGCAAGCGCTTGATATTCATCCTTAACAAGATCGATCTGGTCCCACCGCCGGTTCTTCGCGCATGGTTGATTCATCTACGTCGCTCATTCCCTACTCTTCCTCTACGTGCGTCGAAATCTGCGCCCAACGCGCAAACTTTCGAGCACAAGGACCTCTCAATCAAGGGAACATCCGAGACACTCTTCAAGGCTCTCAAGACCTTCGCTGAGTCCCGTCAGTTGAAGCGCGCAGTCCACGTCGGAATTATTGGATTTCCCAACGTTGGCAAATCGTCCGTCATCAATGCTTTGACATCGAGAGTAGGCGGCAAGGCTGCTGGATGTCCTACCGGTGCTGAGGCGGGAGTTACCACCAGTTTGCGTGAAGTCAAGATCGACAACAAATTGAAACTTATCGACTCGCCTGGTATCGTTTTCCCCAACACCGAAGGCTCCAAGGACAGCAAAGTACAACAGAAGGCGCGCCTGATTTTGCTGAACGCCGTACCCCCGAAAGAGATTGACGACCCTGTTCCCGCTGTCAGTCTGCTCATTAAGAGACTGTCGTCCTCGGAGGAGCTTTTCTCGAAATTGATGGCAGTCTACGATCTACCTCCCCTACACGCTGTGGGCAACGACAGGACCACCGACTTCTTGGTTCAAGTAGCAAGGAAGAGAGGCCGTCTGGGCAAGGGTGGTGTACCCAACATGCACGCCGCAGCACAAAGCGTCATCGTTGACTGGAGAGATGGCCGCATTCAAGGATGGACCAGCCCTCCCAAGTACACACCTGCCGAGCCTGATACCACCAAGACTGCACCAGCTACGAAGGGCGGACTCGTTGGCGATCAGAAAGAGATCGTCAAGGAATGGGCTGCAG